AAAATTTGCAATTTTTTCTGTCCTCTATTTCTGATAAGAAATAATAAACGAGTCCGAACATCAAACTACCTTCTCAAGCGCCTTCAATAGAGAAACCAGTAGCCCTCAGCTGACCTTTTGTGACCATCTCAGCACACCAACCAGCTGGAACACCACACCAGCAGCTCTCCAGAACATCAAGGGGTTTTCTGATGCTCTGGTGAATGGGAACAGCTCAGCTGAGGCTCAGACCCACTGGAACCAGTGCTAGAGGCAAGGGGGACCAGCAGCCAAGGCTCTGTGGAGTCCCAGCCTGCACATTCATGGCACCACCAACATCTGTGGAGGCTCAGGAGCTCTTTGCAGAGCAGCTGTTTGCTCTGCTCAAACCAGGACTGCTTTTTTGCAGGGTTTTACTCACGGGTGACCCGGCTCTGCTGTGTGAGCAAGCACAGAAGGTTTGCCTCTGGGCACAAACCAACAATCCCTGATGAAATTTGTTTATTCCTTTGGTTCCTGACCTCAGCTACATGGGAGCACTGCCACAGAAAATGTGTTTTTAAAAAACCCTATAGTAATATAGGGAGTCCCTGATGTAGGGAATGATTGGTATCTGACTCCATTGATTCAGAACGTTGAATAATTGCTTTATTAAACTTTTATTTATACTATTTATACTATACTATATTAAAGAGCTGCTATACTGTAAAGAACACTAAAGAAAACCCGTGACTGTCTCCAGACAGCCAGGACACAGCTTTTCCCAATTGGTTAAGGAAACAAAACAATCCTCATCAGAATCCAATTGGCAAATCACTTCAGGTAAACAATCTTCCTAACACATTCCACATGTGCAAAAACAACAGGAGCAGCAAGTAGAGATGAGAATTGTTTTCTCTTTCTTCTCCCTGTGCTTCTCCAGGAAAAAAAGAGCTGACACCTCGATTATTTTCCCTTTTAATCCAATAACTGATCCCCAAGAGCCCACAATGCAGACTTTTCTGGGAGAGAGAATTATGTCTCTCACTGTCTATCAATGAAAGCTCAGTTTGCCTCCTGCCCCCAAATTCAAAAATCTATTTTTTTGAGGCAACTTAAAGCAAAACCCCGGATTTCACAGGACGTGTGTGAGGCATTGGTTCATCCCCTGCCTTGCTGACTCCTTCCCGAGCGGATGCCTTTGCAGAACAACATTTGGAGCCGCACTCGCTTTGCCAGGGCTCATTTGTCAGCGCCCGGGGCCAGCCTTTCATCTCCCGGGCACACAATGCCAGCAGGGCTGCAGCGGAGGTGGCTGCATTTACATGCATGAGCAAACCAGTTAAAATGCATATTTCAGCTGCCTGAGCTCTCCTCTGCTCACTACCAGCCAGCACAGCCATGAGGAGGTGTGCAGAGAGCTCAAGCCCCTCTCCAAGGAGCCAGTCCTTGGAATCTTGCTGGAAGCACAGCCTGTAGCTCAGGAAGGTTCTCAGTAAAGGCAGGACATGCAGACCAGTCCTTTCATGAACAGAAGAACATTTCTTCTAGACAGAAAAAGAACCCAACACGCACACACAGCTTCAAAAGAAATTATACAAAACCAAACCAATCTATCCCAGGTCTCATGGTATGACTGATGCTTTAAGTTCTAAAAAAATTACCAAGAATTGCCACCAAAAAGGCAGCAAAAGAATGTCAGCACAAAACCAAAACTTGCTAAACAAAGCAAAATATCTTCAGAGCTGGTCTTGATTTAAATGGAAAACACTTTCATAAATACCAGCACTACAGTCTAAGGGAAACTCTACACTCTTGGTTTTGCAATCCAAATATTCTTAACAGCCAGGAACTGTCTGTTTGAGGAGTCATAATGGATCCAGCACACTGGCTCCTGCTGGAAAACCAGAGCACTCAGGGATGGCACCCAGGGCTTAAAATGCTTTTAGAATGGCAGAAAGTAATTGCTTTCCCATCACAGGGCTCCAGAACACACCCCTACAACCGCCTTGGCACAGTGTAGGAGCATAAGGACTCACCTTCACCAGGAACAAAGCTCATGCTCCACAGCATGGGCCTGGGCTTGCAGGAAGGCAGTTAACTCTGCTATCGTGCCATGACCATGGTTTTATTTGCTCAGTTCCCACAGATCTCAGTGTTACATGGTCCAGTTCAAGCCCACTTTCTCTCAGGAGCATTTATTCTGCTGGAGCTGGTACTGGGCACACACACATTTTGCATAACAAGCAGGGGTTAACAAACTAGCACGCTTTGCATTCTGCTGAGTAACTAATCTGCTGCTAAAATGCATTTAAGCATCATTCTCATCTCAAAAATAACATTTCTACAGACTAAAAAGCCCACATCTGTCTCCAGTCTGTAGTGATTCAAACACTTCAGCCCAGCATCAGGGTGGGGAGGTTTATCTGAAAGCCAGCCTGAAGAGTCCACTTAGACTGAAGATCTGCTTATGTGAAAGTAATGAGAGATGAAAGGCATGTTTTTATGTCATCCCCAGCAACAAAGACAATTCAACCGTTGCTTGTATTTAAATACCAGTCCTTGAACTGCCAAAGCTCTTTTTAACAGATAATATCTTTATAAACAAAAGTTGTGTTGAGTCACACAGCATCTACCCTTAAAGTAGTACTGGCATTTCAGAGGAGACACCCCCATGTCTTGGAAAGCAAATCACTATTAACACAAGCAAGGAATTAGATGTAGTTCTTCATAGACTAGTTTTTCCTAAAAAAAATTTTTTAAAAGTGAAGCTCCTTTAAGACAGTTATCTAACAAAAGGACTCCTTGGATTTATTTGATCAAAACAGCTTTGCTTCAGTCAATTGAAGGTCCCTCAGCACACAGCACTGTACAAGGAATATCAATTTCCAACTAAGCTCCTCTCCCTAAGGACACCCACTAATGCTCACAGAATCTTCAAGGGTCTGGACTTGTGCATAATCTGCAGCCTAGGTAATAAATTTACAGAAAAAAAGACACTTATTCTCTCTGTACTTCCATTTCAGGTCCAAACTTCATTGAAGAGGTGTTACAGAGTAATTCCTGTGAGAGGTTTGTGCTGCCCGAGGCCACAGTGAGAAAGCACAGGTGGGTAAGGTTACTGTGGTTCCATCCTCTTCCAGGTGATCAAAGTGAGGGGATTCATCCTCCCTAGAGCAGAAGGGACACCTCAGAATGTCACTGTTATATTTCCTGAAAAATCCCTTTGCCTGCATTTCTTCTTCTGGGAAGCTGAGAAGCCTCAGAAAAAAAAAGGAAAAAAAATATCCCATTTACTTCTGCCTGTTTTGCTGCTTTGGAATGTGGTTTGGAGATTGTTTATCCAACATGTGAATTGTTTTTACTTAATGACCAATCAAGGTCGAGCTGTGTCAGGACTCTGGAAGCAGTCACGAGTTTTAATTAGTATCTTGTTAAACCTTCTGTAAGTATCATTTCTCTATTTGTTAGTATAATTTTAATATAGCATTCTTTAATATAATATCATAAAATAGCCTTCTAAGAACATGGAGTCAGATTCTCAATTCCTCCTTCATCCTGGAGACCCAGAAAATACCACATAAGAACATCTAAAATGACTTAATCCTTTAAGACCAGCCTACAGTAACAAGTGATCATCCCAGTCCTACTGACAGAAAACAGTTTCCTCACATTTGTTCCAGCAAAATGCTGAGTGTTACCCACTTTTATACTGTGTGAAGAAACTTACTGAGATGAAACATAATTCTTTTGACAAGTTAAAACATTTTTAAAAGCACCTGCTTGGCTTTGGCTCCATTTCCCATTTTGACAGACTCCAGCACCAAAGCATCCAGTTTTCCAGAATAAACCTGTCACTCCTAGAAGTTAGGTCAGGACTATTAATAGGAAAGCCTTTTTCAAAAGGCTCTCTAAAACAAAGACCTGTGACCAAACTTCTTCTCACTTCTACAGATAATTTAAAAATCTCTCTGCACTCCAGAATACCCTTCCACAATGGATAACATGTGGAGCAGCTCAGGGTTCAAGCCCCTAATATTGGAAACAGAAGTGATTGCATGTAAGTAGTTGAATATAACAGAGAGCTCAGATATGAAGTGCTTTGCACAAAGAAATAAAATCAAGACACTCAGGGAACCCAGCAGGTGAAAACCCCAGAGAAACAGAATAAATTCCATGGGTAAACTAACCCAAGTTCTTGGAGCAATAACAAGGCCCCTATCTTTTTATTAAACTGTTCTCACTAAATAGAACAATTACTGAAGGCAGCAACAGAACTGGCTGTAGCAGGGAAAAGCATCCAATTTTTTCCATCATTCCATTTTTGCAAAGGTCACCTGTCTGTCACTGCACAGGCTGCCCATGTCTCCTGCCTGACTGCAGCCTGAAACTGGCACAGCCCCTGGCTGAGAGCAGCAGTCCCTGGCAGGCTGGGCTGCCCAGTGCAGATCCAGGGACTGTGAGCTCCCCTTTGCTGCAACAGCCACAATACACTGATTTTTAATCACAAAGCAGAGGAGACATTCAAGTAGCTGGCAACACGATGGACCAGCTCAGGGGATGTTTATTAGGGATGGGATCAGTGTACATAAGCACACAAACTCTCAGCAAGAGCACAGGCATGGAAGAGGCAGAGCTGGGAATTCAGAGCTTCTCCACTGCCCCATGGACACAGTATGGAAATGGCTGAAATTCCAGGATTAAGTTATGAAGCATCTCTATTCTTCTGAACAAGTTTCCATACCATTTAATTTTCTTAAGCAGCAGCCTTGTAATATTTTCTTTTGCATTCTGGCTGCACAGAACCACTCTATAGTTTCTTTCTAAGTATATGGAGAACAAGCTTAACAACACATCACTCTTACAAAAGTGGCAACAGTATTTCTCCAGGGTTTTGGGGAAATAATTTCTGAATTTAGAAAAGTAGAAATGTATTCCCTTGCCTGTTCTGCCTGAAAACTGCTGCTCTAATATACAGTGCTGTAATTGCTCCTCCTCTAAAACCTGCTGGGGTATAAAGCTGAAGCCTTTGAGCCACTTGCTACACCCAGTCTCTGTACTACTTTATTGCAAATATTAGCAAAGTTATTTGGAGCACCAAATAAAAATTTCAGTATTACAGTATCTCATGAAAGCTTAACAATGAACGGAGTCCAGCCTTCTCTCTGGCTTTATTTATATTTCAAAAGCCAATACAAAAATGTTACACACATACCAGTCACTGTTGCAGACCAGAATTTTGAGCAGTCACCAGGAATTTAGTGCTGCAGTATTTTCCAACAACGTGCAACATTCTGTGTTCAGCTGCAAGGGTACTCTAATGCAATATTCAAGCCTGGTGGGTTTTCTCCAAGCTTTTGGCAAATGTTGAAAGTCCACTGCTTCCCAGTAGCTCCATTATTTTTATGTAAGTGACAGCAGGTAGCTACCTAAATAGATTGTTTTGTTATATAAAAATGCCACTACAAGTATGGTCCTGCTTTACTTTTGTGGCTTGGTTTAACCCCAAAAAATCAGTTCTGAAAGCACCTAGTTATATCAATAGCCTAATTACATGAAAATGCTCCTCTGTTTTCAAGTATGCAAGACCTAGTCAAAGCAAGTATCAATTTTAGCTACTGGGTTTTCAAACAAAAAGCTTTTTTACAAGAGACAATTAAAGCTTCCATCAGCCTACCAGAAGTTACTGTGAGAAACACATCTAAGCTACAGGAGCATTGGTCTATTTCTGACAGTGGTATTTAAGTATTTATTAAGGTGTTTGCATCCATTTATCCATTTGGCTGACATCCACCTGCCACATGTAACATTTGCAATTGCAGTTAACAAGCTGCTGGAGTAAGGAATCTGGGTACTGTTCAGCTGGATATTTTCTATTAGCATAATAGGCAAGAGCTTCTAGAATTTGTCTTGCTGATATACTTCAACTCTGCCTGAAGCAAGGATGGGAAAACAAACCCCTGCTTGTACAAAATAGTTCAAGTATGTAAAAAAGCCACTGACTGTTTTTTAGTAACAGTATTTGCACAAGCAGAAAAAAACCCTCCCAGCTTCTCACAGATCTCTAGGAATATTCAAGTGAAGTTCTGTTTTAATTTTTTGAGATACAGAAGTTTAATCACTTAGCCAATATAAGAGTTCTGCAAACTGCATTATAGATAATGTTGTACATCTTATGACTGAGTGCTGCCAGCAACAGTGGTAATACAAATTGGCAATTTCAACATTTCAGTTCAGAAAACATCTGTTATTCTAAACCCAACAGATTTATATAATGTATGTAAGTATTTATTAAACCCAGCCACCATGCTACAGTATGTGATTAATAAACCCTCTCATTTTGAGAATACACCAGGTATGAACACAATGAAATCTAGATGAGATTTTACAGTAACTTTCCAGAAGTATGCCTGTGGCCTAGCAAATTTGCATTAACATACTGTAGATTTAAAATATTTACTTGTCTTCTTAGCATACCTAACGTGTAAGAATAGTTGCTTAATACCCAAAAATAAATATAAGCTTTCAATTGAAAGCACTTATTCTCCTAGATTCCCAAAGTGGAGTCTGAGGGGTGAAAATGCTTCAGACTTGCCATCAGTCCACTAGTCCACTTCAGTACATAAAAGCATCTCCTGCCCCAGTCTTTTTTTTTTTTTTTTTTTTTTTTTTTTTTTTTTTTTTGTTGCAATCCCAAAGATTTGTTTCCAGTGAAATATGAGCAGAGCAGTGATTTTCTTGGCAGCCCTTCAGTCTGTTTCCATGGCAGCACTGCGGGACTCCTTGGCCACCATGAGTCGCATGAGCTGACTGTGGAATTTCTCAATCTTCTTCACGTCTTGTGCCTGGTCTGTTCTGTACAGCAAACACTGCAAGACAAAGTTGCTGATATCAGATCTCACTTCTGCTGCTTTTTATCTTGTTTGTAGCTGCTATGTATTCATTTGTGCTTGGAGCACACAAAACAAGGAGAGCATTGAAGTGTTCAGCAGTTACCAGGAGGTAGCACCAACACATCCACCCTGTTTCAGAGCACAAACATTATGTGTGTTTGCTTTTAAGCTTCTCCCTAATGCTCATGCCTCCCATATTGAAAATAGGGAAATTCAGAATTTATCCTAGTTTCTTCCAGCTCCAAAAAGCTGTTGAAACTTAGGTTTTAAAGCTGCACTTTTTTTGTGTTGTCTAAATATAGAAACAGATTTTAAACCTGAAGTTACTTGCCAATTCTTTATATTCTGAAAGCAAGCTTACTTTGCCTTTCACAGTCCTTAATGTTACACTGCCAGGGACATAAAATTCAGTATTTCCCATTGAAGGGGATCTCCTATCCCAAGCAAAACCTGTTTTTCCAAGACAGTCCTAAATAGGGAACACAGAATCTGATTAACATAAGCAAACACCCAAACAAACAAAAACAACCCAAACACTAAAACAACCCAACCAAAATCCTGAAACCAGTCCCCATTTCCCCCCACCTGGTGTAACACCCTTCTCTGATTGAAAGCAGGTAAGGTAGTTAATACCCCAGAAGAGTTTATGTTTGTGAATCACCTGACTCCAACTTCCCCAGAGGAGATTTCCACAAAATAACCCTTAAATTCCCCATTATCAGTGCCCCACACCCAACAGCTCACCCATGTCAAGCCCCATTCCCCTATCAAGAAGGGCCTTTACTGGAGTTTCTCATCCATTCCAGGCACTTGACATTCCAATGCCAGACTACTTTTCCTGGAAAGAAGAAATTTGACTCTTTTCCAAGTCTGAAGGCAAGAGAAGGGCAGAATACCCTGTCTGGACTGCAGACTACCAGAATAGCCTGGGCTGCAGAAAAACAACTCCTTAGCTGTAACACTGCTGTCACTCAGTCTCATAACCACAAAAAGGGAATTTCACCACTCTGAGCAGGTAAAAAGGAGCCACTCACACCAGTAAACACCAGTTTGAAAATGCTCCTGGACTGGTCAGTGTCAATGCAGACACAGCAATGAGGGAAGGCTGAGTACAAGTTTTTAGAGAACTGTCAGGCACTTTCAAGGCAGTGTGCAAGAGCTCCCAAGGTGACTGACAGCAAAACTGAAGTCTGTGAGTGGCACAAGCAGCTCTGGAAGGGGAATGTGCTCTGTACTTACAGCCACATCATCTGTCACCTTGATACAGAGGTTCCCATCACAGTGTCGGTATTTGAGGACAACACGGACCTGAAATGAAAAACATTTTAGGGATCAGCACTGACAGATAACAATTCTCAGCAGGTATTGAAGGGAGTCTACCCACACTCAGACTACCCTTGACCATAATTATGTTCTGCTCCATAATTATGTTCTGCTCCATGTTTTCAGCCCCTCTGTGGCACTCCCCAGCTCTGGGGCTGTGGGAGCTGCACATAATCCCACAGCCAGGGTGGTGTGGAAGTTGACCCACCACATTTCCCTGCCTTACAGTCCAGGCTGGTTTTCCAGCAGCATCAGCAAGGTCAGCACTGGGCATGTTCAAAACCCCTGCAAATCCAGCAACAACAGCTGCAGAGACCTTGAGACAGGCAGGACAAACCATGAGGGTCATGTCAAGAGGAGACACCCCTGGCTGTGTGCCACACCCCAGAAAAACCAACTGCAGGTCTGTGTTTGTAGGCTTGAAATACTTCAGAAAACAACAGCTCCACATGAGGACTGGAAAGGGATCAGCTGAGTGGGGCAGGCTCAACATCACCACTTTTTCTGCTGTGATAATCATCACAGCCAGTCCTGCAGCCACCTGCCCCCAGCTCTAACCCACCCTTGCCCCTCTGGACCCTCAAACCACCAAAGTTCTCAAAGCCACACTGGTAAAAATCCACATGCTCAGTGGCTGAGCATTAAGTGGCTCCTCCTGAGCAGTTTGCAGCCTCAGCTAACATCAGAAACAAAGCAAGGTGGCCTTTGAGAGCACTCTGAACTCACACTGCAAACAGTTTTTATTGTGCTAATGGCGAACAGTGATTTGTCAACTCCCTCGCTACAAACACATTTTGGAATTCCTGCTCCAGAGCGGATCTCATCACAGACTGACCCTTTCTGTTTGACAAACTGCCACCTCCTGAGCAGTGTGAGAGCACAGCTCCCTGCTGAGCAGCCCCAAAAGCACAGAGGAGGCTGCCACAGGCAGCAGAACACGCTCAGTGTATCAGTAACCTGCTGGAACACACTCAATCTATCAATAACCTGCTCCTGCCAAGGCAGAACCACTCAGTACCTGGCTGCAGAACACACATCCATCTCCCACAGCTCTTCCTTCAGCTTCCCAGCAAGCCCTATTACGAAATTCCTAATTCTCTGCCAAATTAACAGGAGGGTACTTGTGCTACGACAACAGGGCCTATATAAACCCCTCTGTAACCAAATTTACTGCCATGGATGGGAAGAGATTTCCTTTAAGGAAAGGGAAGAGCAACTCCCAGCTGCAGTGACATCCATTCTTTCATTTAATTCAATGTCACAGAGCCTAGGAAGGCCAAACTGGGCAATTTTAGTATCAGCAGCAACCACATATGGTGTATCTGTGCTAATTAAAAGGCAGAGCTAATCTGCTTTAAATAATTAGGTTTAATTTAATCTTCTGAAGGTTTCTCTAGTTCCCCTATTTTTGGTGAAGAACACTAGGCCTTTTTTACTGAAGATTTCTCAGGTGTGAGTTTCACATCACATTTTTGTGCTGCTTTTTAGGTGAACAACAATGCTTTTCCTGAAGACTGGGATTAATTTTAATATTTGCATTTAAAAAAGCAACAAGAAACAAGAAACAGTCATAAACCAAGGGGTTAAGTCCTTGAGGAATTATTCTTTAGGATGCAAACTCCTTCCAGTCTGAAACATCACTGCAGGCAACAATGCAACATATTGACCCTATGAAAGGACAAATTCAAATAATATAGGTCTTAAATGCTCTAGACTGATAAAATAAGCTTATAATTGATACTTCAGCAGAACTCTTAACCTCGGTTTCCAACACACAGGTATGAGCTCAATGTCTTTGAAGCTCAGCCTTTGAGGTTCATCCCAGCTGCCAATAACGCCGCCTGTAACACCGTTCCCCAGGGATGCTCTCGGGGCTGTAAATGAGAGTTTCCTCCCGTTCCATAGAAAAGGATGGTCCAATAACCTTCCTCGCAGTGCTTTTTCTCTGTATTCGACACTGCTGAGGCCACAGTGCCAGTGCTGTGTCCCATTCTGGGCTGTCGCTTCGGGAAGGACACGGAGGAGCCGGAGGGAGCCCGGAGCAGGGCAATGGGGCTGGGGCTGCTCAGCCTGGGTAAAGGAGGCTCAGGAACGACCTTATCGCTCCCTAAACTCCCGGACAGCAGGGTGCAACCTCCACACAGCCCTAAGGTGTGCTAGGAGGGGTTTAGGGAGGACATTAGAACAAATTTCTTCATATAAAGGTGATTAAACATCGGAAAGGGCTGCCCAGAGAGGCGGTGGGGTCACCATCCCCGGAAGCGTTCCAAAAATAAGCAGACGTGGCACTTAGGGTTATCTATGGTCTACTTAATATGGCTGACTGGGCCATAGGCTGGACTCGACGATCTCAGAAGTCTTTTCCAACCTAAATGATTGAGACTCTGCGATTCTTGCCTCTCCCGTCCAGCACCAGCGTTCCCCCCCAGCCCAACACCGCCCGCCGCCCCCGCCGGGCTGCGCGCAGCCGGAGCCGCCTCCACATCGCCGCTCCCATGGCCGGGCCGTGTACCCTCCCCTCCCGCCCGGGTTATCCCACCTTCATGGGGTCGGCGAGGTAGAGCTTCTCGGCGGCACGGGTGAACTCCTCCCAAGCCTGGAAGTGCGGCATGGCCGGGCGCGCTCGGCTCCCCGCGGCCGCGGCAAGATGGCACCGGAGGCGGGCGGGCGGCAGCGCGGATGAGACGGTGCCTCCCATTGGCCCGCGGCTCAGCACCGCCCAATCGCGGCTCGCGTAACTGCGCGCTCCCGCCACAGCGACCCCTGCAGGCTTGGCGGGGAGGCGGCAGCAGGCGCGGGGAGAGGCTCCCGGTGGCGCCTGGGCTGAGGGCGTGTGGTGCCGGGTTCGAGCCCCGCCACCGGCGGAGCGCCCACCCGCCCGAGGCTGGCACCCGCGGGGCTCTGCTAGGCCAGGTACGGGCTCTCTCCGTGATAACTTCATTCTCTGAGGCCGCTGGGGAGGCAGGTGGGCCAGCAAGGTGCCTTGGGGGTCCGGCGGGAGGTGAGGCCCGTGCACCTGAGGTGTTCTGTTTGCTCCGCCGGCCCTCACGGATGGAGCGATTCCCGGGTTTTGCCAGGCTGGAAAAGCTGCGTGAGGGTGGAGTTTGGCTTCGTGTGGAACAAACAGGGTTTGTGGGAGCTCCTTGCTGCCTTCCCTGGTCTGCCTTGCTGAGGGGTGCTGAGGCATCGCTAAACTAAAGCTGAATGGCATGGAATAAAATGATGGAATGTTGGGGAAGTCTGCTTTTCAGGGCTCTGTGTGTGTGTGTAAAGCTCTTACATAAAGCTGACTTAAAAATCCCCATTAAAAAGGAAATGAGCGAGGAAAAAAAAAAAATCTGAGATTTCTCCTGGTATGTTTCAAAATCCCATAGCCTGCAATGATTTTTGTGCCGTTATAGAACAAAGCCTGTGCTAGTGACAGAGCTGAGCTGTGCTCGTGTCACACGGATTGTGCTGCTGCTGCTGCAGTGACAATAAACACGTAAAACTTGCAAACCCAAAAGCCCCTGCTAATTCAGGTAATTCAGATAATTCCTGATAATTCACTGAAAACCCGAAAACTCCAAGTTTTACTGAACAACTCGAAACTCACCGGTGTGGCCAAACAAATAAACCAAAAGGTTTAGGGCAGATCTGCATTTGAGGGGACAAATTATGCAGGCTGTGGCAGTCTCCACTAGCAACATGGGGAAACACTATAGCTGCAGGCTTTTTTTGGCCACAAAAGGCACAATACGTGCAAGAGAGAACGAAGAAATGTGGCCTAGAAATAAAAGGGTGGATGGGAGGTAAGGGGAGAAAAACGAGAATGAAATTCCGTGAGTCAGTAAAGCAGAAAATAATTGTTACTGTGGGGATCTACTCTGAAAAAGTCTACAGTGATTAGGCTGGCAAACTTCATAAATTGTGACTTGTGGGTGTTATGTGGTCTAAACAATTCTGCTAAAGGGCTTTGCACCAATGGGTGGTGGCTATGGAGGGTGGAAAGATTTAAGGATTTTTTTCTTTTTCTTTCCAGAGCTGCTCACAGGGTTTAGGCACTGATGTGTCACAGAACCCAGCTTCAGATCTTCAAGAGTTGCCTTTCAGAGATGCTGAGAATCAACAGATTATCAGGTGATAGGTATATGGGCAGAGCCTAAAGCAATCATCCCAAACACAGAACAGAACCTGGACAGAATGGTTCTCTACTCTCCTTGAGTTTGGGTAGCTATTTATAACAGCAGAGCAGGAATTGCATTTGGTAGTGTTGTACAGACATGCAGGGGATGTAAACACATGGAAAGGAAAGGTGTGGGGAACACAAACACTGTAAAACACATTTTACAGAGCCATCATTCACCAAATTTGGGTCCAGGTCTTCAAGTGGGACACGGGTGCACCTTCTGAAAGAGCCTCAGTAAAAAACCCCATTGTAGTAATTTTTTTTTCCCCCATAACCAAGATGATTCCCAGGATCCATTTTAGGATGCAGCTTCTAAAACTGTTCTATAGGCACAATTTTGGAGGTGCCAAACTGCAGCAGCCAGGGCAAAGAGCAGAGAGGGATTTCATAACTGGCCTTGCCTCTGAGGGAGATGAGATGTGCCACAGTGACAGTTCCACACAGCCTGCTACACAGCTCTGCATAACCTGCTCCTGGCTGCACATCTTCAGGGTTTTGTCATCCCTGCCACTGCCACCACCACCTATGGCCCCACATTGTGCTGCCACAGCTGTTTGTGACTCTGCACTGGGGATGGCACCAGTGCTGGCATCAAAAGCAACACCATTTTTAGCAACACTTTTTTTTTTTACTGAGATGAGTTGGGTTTTCTAGTTTAATCTGTGCATTTGGTAGTGCTGTTGTGCTGCCACAGCTGTTGAAAATGTACCTTTTTTTGGTGGCAAGACAGAATATGGGAATTCCTACTGGTTCTGCTGGATTGCCACCAAAAATGAGGGGCTGGATATGAAACCACCCTCACTCCCAGTTGCCCTGAGAGCAGGGCCAGTTGCTGAACTCTCCACAATTAAGAAGAGAAGCTATTTCTGAGCCCCAGGGAATGTCTGATACCTGTAGTTAGTGCACTGCTGTGCTCTGTTGTTCTCCTTTTGCCTGGAGAACAGAACATTTTCTTGACATGTTTGGAAAGTCAGTCAGACCACTGCAGCTATTCAGCTGTAAGTTGTATTTGATGTATGTCCAAAACTGTATTTTTCAAGTGAGTTCCAGTGAGTGCAGTAATAGTAGAAATCCTTCAATGGGCTTTTTGTTTGGTGAAATAAAATGAGCAGTTGTTTATCACTGTGTGGAGTGTTTGGTATGCAGCCAATAATAATTTAGTAGTTAGTAAGAATTCTGCTAAAACATACATACTTATCTTGCTTTCTTTGCTTGAGTTTCTGCTTTCTGCCATGCAAGAAATCATTCCAACGGTCTTAACAGCCCATTCCATCCCTTGCAAATGAAATGTGGAATGCTGTAAAACCTCATTTACCCTTTCCTCAGTCTGTCTCTGTGTATCCTTGCTGTATTCCCTAGACCACCTTAGATAATGTCTTTTTTTTGCTTGGATTTTAGGCCATAAAAAGCTATGAAGCAATAATGTAAGTACTCGTGTGATGAAGACTTTTCATGTGGGTTTTCCTCAGGCCTTTTCCCCTCATCCAACCTGTGTGTACATGATTAATTATCTCTCTTTGATCAAGCTCCTACATGCATTGCCACTGCAAGTTCTGCTTCGTAAAGCTGTGTTCAGGCATCTGGGTTGTGCTTGGTGATCTCTTCAGGTGTTTTATCTGGTGTCTTCCTTTGCATTAATGAAAAACTGAAATAAAATCGTGCAGAAAGTACTGCATTAGAGCTTAAAAGATCTTAAAATATCATCCAGGGAGATCTTACAACTCCTGCAAAGTTCATGGAAGCTGCAGCTGCTTAGCATCACTCAGGGTCAGACATTTGGTTTCCTGTTCTTCACATTAATGCTTTCATTCTATCTAAAGCAGGTGCCATGTTCTTTTTTTTTTTTTTTTTTTTTTTTGGTTAAACTATTTTTCTCTCCTGGATAAGGAAATCAGATAAGAGTATTAAATTCATTAAAATAGTTATCAGTCACCATGACACACTACTGGTGGGTAAAACAAACTGGTCTTCCCACCTAAAAGAAGCTTTGTGTAGAACACTGTGCTTTATCATGCTAAATTGTGGATTGGATGGGAAACAATGGCACAAACCGATCTCAGTTATGCTGCTCTAAATCCAGAGTCATTCCGTTTATTTCATTGGGTTTTTATTTTTTTTTTTGGGGGATCTGTAACAGTATAATTAAGAGCAGACTTTGGTGCCGGGATGATAATCCTGTTCTTGGACCGAGAGCAACAGAAAGTCAGCGCAGTAATTCAGGTCTGAGAGAGTGCTAATGAGGAGTTGGTTACAAGGCAATTTTTACTGCCAAGAGTGCTTAATGCTTAAAGGAGATACAGTTGCTTCTTTCAAAATAGCTCCAACCCAGCCCTTAGCAAAGTGAAGGAGAATCCTAGGCATTGTGATTATACATTCCATTCTTGTGTGTGTACGGTCTAAAGCAGCCTGGGATTTGTACTGATGCAGACTTTAATCGCGCGGGGCTATTTTTTTTTTTCCTTTGAAAGGGCGTTTATGTGCATAGGGATGCAGATAAATCTTGAATACACCGAGATTCGAGGTCTTGACTTCTCGCTGGCTCCGGAGTCTCCGTGCCCATGAGAACCGAGGCTGCAGCGGGAAGCAGTTGGTGCTGCTGGATGGGTTCTGACACGCCGCTCTGAGCCGCAGCTTTCACTCCCCGGCTCCCCAAGGAGCACAAAGCACGCTGCTCCCTTGTAGGGGTTTGATGTTTTACGCAGCTCGGCTGAAGGTTTTGCCAGGTTGAGCCATACACAGGTAATTACATCGCTGCCAGTTTATTCTTTTGGACTCGAGCATCTTACAGAGCGTTCAGGCTCGTACTGTCTTAGCAGGATAATTAAATATTGGTGACACTTAAAAGAGAATTCATGGCAGTTTATGTGGGCAGCAGGATTCCAGGGCTCTGTCCTGGTGCCTGTCACAGCTTCAGGGCAGGGTAAAACCTGGATGCCTATTGATAAAAAAGAGAGCAGGCTCCCGGTACTAAAGTGATTTCAGTGTTTATTATAAAAAAGAAAGGCCTAAAGCAAGGGGGCCTGGGCCGAGCAGGAGCGCTCCCATCGAGGATGCTGCAGTGCCAGCCCTGGGGCTGCTCAGCAGCGATGGCCCCGATGGAGCAGCACAATTCAGTGGGTCAGAAGTCCCTTTCTATCCTGTTTTTGTCCCTTTGGATTGGTTTCTTTTTGGATCTTTCATTTGCATGAAGGTTTAAGGCGCTTGATTGGCCCATTGTTTCGCTTGGGGGGGGGTGCACTTTACTGAGGTGTGTTATGGTAGGTTGAGTACCCTATTTCTTCTTTTAACCCCTTTTACAAAATAATAACCAAACTAACAGTACATGCTTAACGAATTAGCAACTATTTTACAACAGTTTCTAACCTATTTTTGATACCTGTCACTATCCTCATTCCTTTTCCTGTGAAAGGAGCACACTCCAAACATGGCCCTGATCAGGGCACACCGTGATCTACACTTGCCAGACACTTGAGCAATGACCTTGCCCAAGGCAGCA